TTTTTTTTTTTTTTTTTTTTTTCCTGCTTCCTAATATCCTTCCCCAACCCCAACACATCCATATGCTGTTGGGGCTGTTAGGTGGGGATAGGTCTGAGAAATGAGTCTGCTGTAGAATTATATTACAAGGCTAGAGTACAGTCAGTGCTTACCTTTTATCACCACGATACTATAAGGTATTTTCTCAATTTTCCAGATAAAAAGTAGGCTCAGAGAGAAGGTAGAGATGGTAAACAAGTACTGTAGTTGAACAAGGCTTCCTGCCACTGTTTCTCTGCTCTTCTGAGGGTGGGCTCAGTTTTTGTCACCAGGTTTCTTTTTCTTTTCTTTTCTTTTCTTTTTTTGGTACCGGGGTTTGAACTTGGGTCCTTGTGCTTGTGAAGCAGGCAGCAGAACCACTGAGCTAAATTCCCAGCCACTGTCACCAGGTTTCTTAATGGAATCTGTACAAATGCAGATGTATCTTGCCCTTACAGTCATTGTCCTGGCATTACTATAGAGAGATGCATTCAGTGTCTTGATTCCCTTCCTGGCCTTTGTATAATGTTGGGAAATTAATGAAATGCCATCAACACAGGGACAGGAAAACTTAGGCCAGGAGGAATCCCTGAATGCTACAATGGTTAGATCCTGGTAAAATACAGGCAGTGCAAGTTTGAAATAATGCTTTCAATGAGACGTGCAGAATGTATTGTCTACATGTCTAAGTTTTTTTAAAAATTAGTCTTAAAATATCTAGAGAAGATAGACTTGAAGGGCCACTGAATAAAATCTCAGCCTTCTATGAAATTGTTTAGCAGACTAAAGGTGCATTCTGCAAAGATAGCAGCTTATACTTCTGTAGGATCTGCTCATGAACATTGGAAATTAAATAAGAAATAGTCTTATACCCCAAAGACCTTAGCTAATGGTATAGAAGGATTACGGGAATAGTTCATTTTATTATAACACTGTAGAAGAGGTGTAGGGTGCTTCCGCTTGCTTCAAACTCAACATTGGCTTCTCAAATGACAGTGGGATTGGGTTGTAGCCTAGATGTAGATGGGCCACAAGTTTTATTTTTGTTTTTTGTTGTTTGGTGGGGTTTCTTTGTTGTTTTTTGTTCTGTTTTGAAGCAGGGGTCTCTCTATATTGTTCAGGCTGGCCTTGAATTCACTATAATCCTTCTGCCTCAGTTTATCCACCACATGTGCTAATTAGGGCCTATCCTCAGACTACCTTTGCCACCACCATGCCCAGCTGAGTGTTTGTTTTTAGATTGTCCACCTGTGTATGTTTCTGTTGCTTAAAATACCATTGAAGTCATGCCTGGCTACAAATGCCTGTGATCCCAAGGTACTCAGAAAGCTAAGGCAGGAGGATCGCAGGTTTGTGCCCAGCCTAGGCAATTTGAGACCCTATCTCAGAACTTTAAAAAGGGGTTATGGATGTGGCTGTACTGAGGACTATGGCTGGGAAAAAAAATTAAAAGATACAATAAAGCTAAGTGCTATAGTTTTTGTAATCCCAGCTACTTGGGAGGCTGAGGCAGGAGGATCAAGAGTTTGAGATGGGGCTAGTCTAATACCCTTTATGAGAGTGTGCCCCCACCAGCTATTCAGCCTGGTCTCCTTTCCTATTTTTCTTACTCTCCTTTCTGTGTTGTTTTTGTTTGTTTGTTTGTTTGTTTGTTTTGTTTTTGTTTTTTTTTTTGTCTTGTTTTTTTGAGATAGGGTCTTGTTATATGGTTCAGGCTGGCCTTTAACTCACTGTGTAGTTCATGCTGGCCTTTAACTCACTATGTAGCCCAGGCTAAACTCCACTCGCAGTGGTCCTCCTGCCTCAGCCTCCCAAGTGCTGAGATCATAGGCATGTGCCGCCATACCCAACAGCTCTCCTCTCTTAAGGGTCAGCCTCATCTTTGTCAGCTGCTCAAGCTAAAGTCTTGTACCATTTTTTAATTTTCTAATTAAAACTTTTTCCTGTAAGGTTGAAATTTTAAAAGGGAGAGACTAGTTTGGGCAACTTAGTGAGACTTTGTCTCAAAATTAGGATTAAGGGGTCCTGGGGATGGAGTACTGCACTTCCTGGGTTTAACCCCCAGTACTGTAACATAAATAAAATAGGGCCTGGGATACAGCTCAATGCCCTAACATCCCTGGATTCTATTCCCAGTACCACAAACAGTAAAAGAGTCAGAGAAAGAACTCTGAAAACAATTTTTTTGGTTATCTTTGTAAGTCCCTGGAATGTTTGCAACATTATTAAGGTTTGGGTTACTTAAACTGGAAGCATACATAAATCTGTTTTATAATGGACAGTGAAATTTGTGGATTTTAAAGTAAGAATCCATTGAAACCTTTGGTAAATTGATTTCGATACATTTGTGATTTTGAACTTTTAAAAAAATCTTTTGTGGTACTGGGAATTGAACCTTTGTACAGATTTATATGCCTGGGCCTTCTTTCTTAACTTTTTAGATATAAGTTCTTGTTAACTTGCCCAAGCTAGACTTGAACTTGTGAACCTCCTGCCTCAATTTCTCAGAGTGCTGGGATTAGCCATATGGCAGCACGCTTGGCTGATTTTGAACTTTTTAATTGGGCTCTTATAAGTCATGTGGTTTAATAGACCTATTTTTAGATCTCCCGAGACAAACAAGCTAGAGAAGAAGAGAACTGACCTGCCCCAGGTTATAGGTCATCCTTGCAGAATGAGGACTAGAATTTTGGTCTCCAGTTTGCAGACAGTGCTTTTCTTGCCTTGTTCTTTGGTACATGCTGACTTTGCCTTCACTGAGCTCTTTGTTTGCTTGGGATCAATGTGAATGTTCCAATGCCTAGGAAGCTGTTTTCTGTATTTGCTGCCTCCCCTTGGGCAGCCAGCCTTATTCCCTTAGTGCTTAACTTTATTCTAGCTCTCACTGTTTACCCAACCTTTATTTACTCATATATCTTATAAGCTTTAATCACCCCACCCTGTCTGAAGGCTTTCAGGTCAGTGGTTGGTGTCAGTACCTGGGTAGCCCAAATAACCACACAGGTGTCCTTGCTCTATTTCAGGAATGCCTCTAGCCCAGGCAGTGGCTATTCTTCAGAAGCACTGTCGAATCATCAAAAATGTCCAAGTTCTCTACAGTGAGCAGGTGAGTGATGGCCAATTTGTTTACTGAAATAGCATCCCTGGCTAGTGAGTCACCTCCAGAGGTGACGGGGAAGTGGCTGCCTGGCTGACAGGGATTGCTGTATTCCAACAGGCGAATTTTCAGCCCTGGTCAGATAACACAGGTATTATCTCCTGGATTCTGAAACTTTTGATCTTGATTATCTAGTGTTGCCAGCTTTAAAGGAGCAGTATGAACTAAACATGTTTTTTATCTGTGTTTGACCTACTTACTGGTCTTAAAGATAGGGACTTTGCTGGGTGTGTAGCGTTGTGCCTGTAATCCCAGCACTCTGAAAAACTGAACCAGAGGACTGCAAGTTCACCCAGCCTGACCAATTTAGCAAGACCCTATCTTATTGCAAAGGCCCTACGTTCAATCCCTAGTGTAGCAAAAACAAACAAACAAAAAAAGATAGATTTCTCAGTATGAGGCCATCCTAGGGTTTTCTGCAGTGCTTGCCTTCAAAGCACTTTTGTATGTTTTGTTTTTTGGTACCAGGGATCAAACTTGCACTCATGAGGCAGGCAGCGACAGCACTGAGTTAAATCCCTGGCCCTTGTTTTGTTTTTGTTTTTGTTGGGGGTTTTTTAGTGCAGTTTTAATTTTTATTTTATTGGTACATTTTAGATATACCTTGGGCCAGGGATTTAGCTCAGTGGCACTGTGCCTGCCTTGGAAGCTCAAGGTCCAGAGTTTGATCCCCAGTAACAACAACAAAAATATACCTAATGATAAAATTCATCATAGGGAGTTTGTACCTGTAGATGATATATCTTACTTCTTTTTTCCTATTCCCCTCCCTTCAACCTCTCTTCCCCTCCTTGTTTATAAAAGCTTTGTTTCCATTTTTTTCCTTGTCTCTTCTTTCCTATCCCCCACCCTTCCCTTTTTCGCTTTCTCACTTGAACATTTTCTTCTCGTTTCCCAGTATCTTTTTTATAGTTTTATCCTTATTCACACCTTTGGTTTCTCACACTAGAGAAACAAAGTGGTATTTAAACATGTTTGTCCAGTTTATTTCACTTAAGAGTATCGTCTTAAAGTGCGTCCGTTTATCTAGAAATATCTCAAATTTATTCTTCTTTGTGGCATAGTAGTACTCCATTGCATAAAAAAGACCATACCTTCTTTATCCATTTTTAGGTCACTACACTTGATCTTAGCCAAAAAGCCGAGAAGCGATATCCATTTGTAGGTTGATGGGCATTTACTATGGTGGTAGCTTTTTGACTCTGCTGTCTGATCATTCCTAACACAATCTGACTTTCACTTTAGACCATGAGGGAATTACTTTATGACATATGGCAGCCATCAAAACAGGGAAATGGGCTTGCTTCTTGAGCTTATGTCCATGGATACAGTAGGTTGAATTGGATTCAGACACCCTCAAGATTGGTTGCTTTTGAAAATAGGTGTTAAACTTTCTTCATCAATTTGTAAAAATGAAATTTCTTTCTTTCTTTCTTTCTTTTTTTTTTTTTTGGTACTGGGGATCGAATTCAGATCCTTGCACTTGCAAGGCAAGTACTAGAACCACTGAGCTAAATCCCCAGCCCTGAAATTTGTTTGTTTGTTTGTTTGTTGTTTGTTTGTTTATTTGAGACAGAGTCTCACTATGTAGTTGAGACTGACCTGGAACTCACTGTGCAGCCCAGGCTGGTCTTTAACTCACAGCAATCCTCCTGCCTCAGCCTCCCAAGTGCTGGGATTACAGGCATGTACCACCACGCCCAGCCTGAAATTTATTTCTTACATCATACCTTTATTGTCTGTTATTCCAGTATTTGCAGGAGTGTTAACATTAATCTCCTTTTCCCCAGTATCATCTAAGTATCTGTAACAAGTTAGAAACCATTGGGGGCTTTTTAGTTTTTTGTTTGGTTTGTTTGTACCGGGGATTGAACTCAGGACAGGCACAGTGCCACTGTGCTAAATCCCCAGCCCAGTACTTTAGAATTAAATGTGTACATCAAGTAGATCCTATCTTCCTTTTTTGTTGTTTAGTTTTTTTGGGTTTTTTGTGTTTGAGGTAGAGTTTTTGCCTTATAGTCCGAGCTGGCCTTGAACTCTGTAGGTAGTCAGCTGGCCTCCAACACAAAATCCTCCTACCTCAGCCTCCCAGGGTTGGGATTACAGGCATGTGCCATCATTCCTAGCTCTATCCTATTTTTCTTACAGAAGAAAAAATATTAATAACTACTAGCAGGTAGCTTTATCGAACTGTTTCATATGGAGGGCAGCTGGATTCCTGGAAGGGCCTACTTAAACATCACATATTTCATGTGTATTTTGGTTCTAGAGAAATAAAACATTAATTTGTATCACATAGATTTTACACATTGATTGTGAAAGTAAGTTGCTTGCTTTCAATAAGTGCTTAGTTATATCCTGAATTCTAACAATGCCAAGGAAAAATAATCAGATTTTGTGAGAGTGTCAGAAAATCCAGATCCTTCCAGAATTCTTCTATTAAGGAAAAGTCCTAAAAGAAAAATGTTGCTTCATCTTGTTTACTTCCATGGAATGGCCTTCTCCAAAATGGAACTTTGTGTTCTGGATAGAGATCAGATAACCCAAGCAGGGTTCACTGTTCATTATCTTGCCTGAGTCTTTTAATAGTAGGCATTTATGTAAACCTACTGGAAACCTACTACATTCTTCTAGTTTTTGCCAAGCATGATGGTACCATCTGGAGCTGCTATGTTTTGAAGAATTCTGGAGTAAAGGGGAGAATACAGTCTGAGCTAATTCCTGAAGGCTCTTAGAGAAAACTTCTGTGGTGAGGTCCACCAGCACTGACCCTTGGCCTTCCAGCCCTGTCTGTCTCTGACAGCCACACCTCTGTCATTTGTCTGCTATAAGAAGCTCCGTTTGAAAAACCTTATCTAAACCTTTTGAACCATTGTGTACCAATTTCAAAACGGGTAAGATTTCAAATGGTGGTATTTTTCCTTTTACTTCAAGGCAGCATGGGTCAGGGAAGTGAGTCTTCAGACATTGAATCCTTGGCTTGATTGCATTGAACCAGAAGCAGGAATAGAGGGAGGGAAAGTTCTGTGTGCCATGTCTGTGCTTGGTCTTTCTTTTGTGGGGGAGGGGCAGGTACTAGGGATTGAACCCAGACCTTTCGCTGAGCTACATCCCAACACTTTTTATTTTTTATTTTGAGACACGATCTCAGTAAGTCACTGAGGTGTCCAAGGTAAGCTCAAATTTGCAATTTTCCTGCCTCAGTCTCCCAGAGTGCTAACATTACAGATATGTGCCACACCCAGCTTGTACTTGGTCTTTCTGACCTTGTGCTCTGTATGGTATTCTTGTGTAGAAACCAGAGTGCAGAAAAGTTTTAAGAATCAACTAAGGTAATCAAGGCACTGTTCACTGCCCATACTGCTACTCCTTTCCCCCTGGGCTCAGAAGGGGCAAATATAGAAATGTGACTCTTTAGATCTTAGGCTTTCCAGAAAGAAGCACATGTGAAATAGGATGAGGGAGAAAAGAAAGGAGTAAGAATGCTGGTATATAATCAGATCATAAGGTATTTCTTGGTCTTAGAATTTGGCTGAAACAGTCACAGAATAAATGTGTTCCCTGAAGCATGTCAGAGAGCCTAGTTGTGGATGTAGCTTCCGCCCACATGCATAAGCAGCATCTGCTGAGTTTGGATCCTCAGCCTTTTCACATTATGTATATTCCTAATTGAATGCTCTGTGGGTTTGCTGATAATAAACTGATATGACAGATGTGGACTCTGGAGCCTCAGGTGAAATTGTTTTATATACTCACATGATTTTGTCCCTTTCTCCCAGATATTTGTACTTAAGCCTGGAAGGGGGAGGCTCTTTTCAGCTAATATTATGAAGCAGGAACTACAGGCTGGAACTGGAAGACACTGCATTCGTGCTACAGTTTTCCTGGCTTCCAAACCTCATTAGTTTGGGGAGAGAGGGACTGCCCGCTCTTAGGTATCCCCTGTGCATTGCATTTGTATCGTAAGGCTTTCAGTATATGCTAGTAAATAAATTAGTTGAGTGTGTTTTATTTTTCTTTTATAGTCTCCTCTAAGCCATGACCTCATCCTTAACCTGACTCAGGATGGAATCAAACTACTGTTTGATGCTTTCAATCAGAGACTTAAGGTAACTATAAATGACAGCTATAGTTCCATGTCTGGCTGAGCCAGTCTTTCTAGAGCTGATTAATATATACTATTGTGAGATGTTTCAGAAACTCCTAAGCAGTTATGAACCTTTTTAATTTAATCTTATTTGGGGGGGGTATGAGCCTTTTAATTCAGAGACCACCACCACATAGCTGAAGCTACATGGTGCCTGTTTGCCTAAAAGGAGACGAGATGGTATGAGACGGGTAGTTGAAAAAGGCTGAGAAGTGCTAAGAATGGGCCCTAACTACAGAACAGGACCAAATGACTTTAGTCAGGCTTATGTACCTTGTTTTGTTTTGCTTCATTTCTTGTGTCATGTAACTTGGAAGATAGAAAATGGAAACTGCTCATCTTCAGTGCTGGGTCTTGGGGGTAATACCACCAAGAGTTGATTGTAGAAATGTAAACAATTCGCTGTGTATAGCGCTTCTTAATTAGAATATGATTACAGTTTGCTCATGCTCATTTCAGCCCAGGCTTTTTGTTGTTGTTGTTTTTGGAGATAAGGTCTCACTGTGTAGTTGAGGCTGGCCTTGAACTCACTATGTATTCTAGGCTTGCCTCAAACTTACTAAGGTCCTCTTGCCTGAGCCTCCCAAGTGCTGGGATTACAGGTGTGTACCACCATGCACAGGATTTTTTTTTTTTGTACCAGGGATCAAACTCGGGTCCTTGCACTTATGAGGCAGGCAGTGGAACCACTGAGCTAAATCTGCAGCCCTCCAGGATGTTTTTAATATACTATTTTCAAATGCCTTGGCCTCACAGTTTATAGTCATGTGACACCAGATTCTTGCCTCAGAGTCGTGAGGTTCAAGAGCCTTTTTCCTGGTTAGGTTATGCAGCAGCCTCTCTAATAGACTTGGGTACTTCCCAGTTATTATCCTACCACAAACGAGCTGCTAAGTGGAAAGACTCCCTTTTGGAGAACATGATCCTTTTGGAGGATCCTGGTTAGCCATAGTGGTAAGAGTCAGAGTAGAAGTATGCTTATACCTTCTATGAGCAAAACTTCTGACCTGAAAATAGAGTCTCTGCCAGCAGGAGGCCTTGACCTTAGTGAAATGGTGTACCAATTTGGCATGGAACATGGCCATAACTTGGGCATTCTTTGTTGGTGGTGTTGTTTTTGAGACAGGGTCTCACTTTATAGTATAGGCTGGCCTTGAACTTACTATTAGCCCAGGCTGGCCTCAACTTTCTGCAGTCCTCCTGCCTCAGCCTCCAGAGTACAGGGATAACAGGTGTTCACTACCATGCCCAACTTAACCCAGGCATTCCAAAGGGGTCCATAGCTCTCTTCTGAATCACAGCTATTCCCCTACCTTCCTTGCACAGTTCCGCTCCTCCCAGCACTCCTTTTCATGCTTCCAAGCTTCATATTACCCTTAACTACCTTCATACTGCGCAGACTTGGCTGACATGTTCCCACTGCAAACTGATGGGTCAGTGAAGGGACTTAGTGATAATAGTGAACAGCTTACACAAGTATGCAAGGAAAGGGTTCATTTAAGTGCCATGAGGGCCAAGCACAGGGAGCAAGTCTTCCCTTCATATAGGATCAAAATAGCTTTCCAGCCTTTTCTTCCCTCTAAGTTTGCTTGCTTACATACTTTATTTATTTTCCTTTTTTGTTTTTTTGAGACAGGGTCTAACTATGTAATTCAGGCTGGGCTTGACCTCCCTATATAGCCCAGAGTGGCCTCAAACTCCTGATGATCCTCCTGCTTCAGCCTCGCAAATGCTGAGATCACAGGCATTCGCCACCACACCTGTCTTCTCCCTAATTTTAAAATGAGAACAAAAGACGGTATTCAGTGCTTACAGAATTTCGTGTTGTTTTTGATACTGGGGTTGGCCCCAGAGCCTCATCCATATACTAAGCACATGCTTTACCATGGGGCAACATCCCAGGCTGGCCTTGCACTTGAAATTCTGCCTCAGCCTTAAGAGTAGTTGGAATTACTGTTTTGGTGGGGTTTTTTTGTTTTTGTTGTTGTGGTTGTTGTTGCTGGAAATGGAACCCAGGATTGCACATATCACCGGTGGACTGACCCTCCAGTTACAACCGGTCTGACGTATGAACAACTTGGATTGTAACCAGAATTTTAATTAAGGACCAAAATCTTAAGTTATGACCCAAATACCAGCTGTTTGTGCTTCCAGATGGTCTCATACAGATTTAACATTTAAAGAGCTCTGGAAGGAACATTACAACATCCTTTCCTGTGTGGGGTTAATTGAGAAATCCTGGGTCAGTGTTTCTCTGAGGATCCTGAGCTGTTCCTGTGTACAGGAGAGAGACTTTGAAGGCTGTGTAAAGGAGCCTAAGTTTCACTTGACCAACCTGAATTATAATCAGCCCTTGGGAATTAATTGAGTTTGTAAGTCAGCATCTGCTATACAGTTTACCACTGAGCTGTACCCCTACCCCCTATATAAATTTAGTCTTTTTCAGTGTCATCTTAATCAGCTTGAAAGCATTAGCAACTCTTTAACATTTGATTTTTTTGTTTGTTTAGGTGATTGAAGTATATGACTTGACTAAAGTAAAGTTAAAATATTGGTAAGTTTTCCTTCTGCTGGTATAGGTCATATTTGCAGCAGCACATCGATTATAGTTTGTGACTTCCTGAGGCAACCTCCCAGCCTGCTCAGTATTCTGGGTGACTTAACCTTGTGACAAATACGTTGTCATATATATGTCACATGTATGTCATCTAACACTTCCAACAAAGCAGGACTTCAGCTCAGAGATGATATGGGAATCTCCTGAGTCATAACTGCCCTCCCATGCACAGCCTCTTTGGCACCTTTTCATGAGCAGCAGAGGTAGAAAAAAACAGTTCAAACTCTAGAACCAAGGATAAAGAGAGTTCCAGACTATTTTAGAGCCAAAATTATTTTTCTAGAATAAAAATGCAGATGGTTTATACCAGTAATGGTGAACCTTTTAGAGACAAGTACCCAAACAGCAACCCCAAACCCACTTATTTATCGCAAAGTGCCAGCATTGTAATTGAACCTGAATACTGAGGTTTTAGTTTAGAAAAAACAACTCAAACATTAACATCTTTTGTCTTAAAATAAAAACAAATTAACACGTGTGCCATAGGTTCACCACCACTGACCTATACAGTTAACAGATACTTGAGCCCATTCTATGGGAAGATGCTACGCTTGCATCTAGAGTACGCCTTTTAATGCGCTTCCCTTTACAAGAGCATGATGAAGACCTGATTCCTGGGGTAAGCTCAGGCAGTGTTTGCTGATGGAGGAGTAGATAAGCAAAAGCATATGTGCTGGCCCCCTGTATGTTCTGGTAGTCCTTTAGTCTTGCTAGGGCCTTCATACCTCAAGGTATGTGTTCTCTGTCCCCTTACTCAAAGTCAGTGAAACCATGACAGAGAATCTACTGTGTATATATCAGCTTCATGAGAATTGGCCTTCTCACATCATTAGTTGTCTCTTTAAAGATTTTTTTTAATGTAATTATACTCACCTACCTGAACCTTTGTGGGGGGTACCAGGGATTGAACTTGGGTCCCTGTGCTTGTATGGCAGGCAGTGAAACCACTGAGCTAAATCCCTGGCCCACACCTATCTGAATCTTTTGTTTGTTTGTTTGTTTGTTTTGTTTTTTTGAGACAGGGTCTCACTATGTACTTGAGACTGACCTGGAACTCTCTGTGTAGCCCAGGCTGGTCTCAAACTCACAGCAATCTTCCTGCCTCAGCCTCCGAGTGCTGGGATTACAGGTGTGCACCACCATGCCCAGCTGTCTGAATTTTAAGAATAACTTTTCCAGCCCCCATGACTAGACCTGTGAGCCCACCTTGCAAAGCCTAGTGTTAAAAAAGTATTTTTGCTTTACAGTGGAGTGCACTTCAACTCTCAGGCCATAGCTCCCACCATTGAGCAGATTGACCAGTCTTTTGGCGCAACTCATCCTGGAGGTAAGCCAAGTTCATCTGATTCCCCTGGCTATCAGTAGCAGCCCATAGCCACAGGTGGTACTATCTCTTGTTCTTCTGGATTGTGAGGTTGATGCTTGAGTATGTAAAGGAAAGCTCCTCCCCTGTATTTTTAACCTAGTAAATCTGTTCAGACAACAAGACAAAGTGTTACCAGTCATTACTCCTTGCCAGTCTGGTTTATACTAATGACTTAGATGCCAATGAGCTGTGTCATTTTCTTCTCTCCTACCCCCATAGTGTACAACTCTGCCGAGCAGCTCTTTCACCTCAACTTCAGAGGACTATCTTTCTCTTTTCAGTTAGACTCATGGACTGAAGCTCCCAAGTATGAGGTTAGCCCTTCCTGTTTCTTGGTATTTGTGGCCCATGTGGTGTGGGTCAGCAGCAGTCATTATAGGTGGTGGGGGACTGGATAGGCAGGCAGCCTCTGATTTCCTTGTCTCTGAGTTAGTTCATTGAGAGTCAGGGAAGGTAGGGTGGGTGGAGTTGATAGGAAAACAAGGCTCAGGCTGCATTCCCTGGCTTCTGTGTACTGCCAAAGGCATTCAGGCTCACTTTTCAGAAATCCATCATGTCTCACTTTAAAACTTTAAATCGCTTCAGTTTTCTCAGTGGCCAAGAGTTTGGAGCTTTTGTCCTATGGATTTTCAGTTACCTTTTACTTTAAAGAGGAATTCACATTGTTAGCATGAGTTAATTGATCAAGAGCTTGGGTCATATGACCTGCAGTGTGCCCTTAGTAAAACTTGTCCTGTGTTTGCAGCCCAATTTTGCCCATGGTCTAGCTTCTCTCCAGATACCCCATGGAGCAACTGTAAAACGGATGTACATCTATAGTGGAAACAGCCTACAAGATACCAAGTAAGTGTAGGGCTTCATGCTAAGGCCATGGGCTACCAGGGAGAGAGAACCAAGACCCTACTCATTCTTTGCTTGCCACCAGGGCTCCCACGATGCCCCTGAGCTGTTTCTTGGGCAATGTGTATGCTGAGAGTGTAGATGTTCTTCGTGATGGAACTGGACCTTCAGGTTTACGACTTCGCCTACTTGCTGCAGGTCAGTTACTGGCTTTGAGGTGGGTAGAATCCCCATCATATGCATGAGAGGCATTCTAAACTCCTCTAAGGTTAGAGATATGTCTTGGTCCATTCAGGCTGCAGTAACAAATTACCATAAAGTGGGGGGTTTATAAATAACAGAAATTTATTTCTCATAGCTCTGGAGCCTGGGAATTCCAAGAAAAAGGGACTGGCGATTATCTGGTGAGGGCCCACTTTCTGGTTTAGAGATATTCCACTGTGTCTTCATATGTTGAAAGACCTCATTCTCTGGAATCTTTTTACCAGGGCACTAATCACAGTCAGGTCTCTATTCCCGTAACCCAATCATCTCCTAAAGGTCCTACCTCATAATATCATTGAATCAAAGAATTTTAGGGGAACATAAGTATTCAGTACATTGATAGATACTTTATACAAGACAAATAATGCAGATACTTACGGTTAAAACTTCTTTTCCTTTGATACAGGATCTCTTTGTAGTTCACACTGGCCTTGAACTCACTGTTGTAGCTCAGGCTAGCCTCAAATTTGCAGCAATCCTCCTGGCTCAGCTTCTCAAGTGCTGAGATTACAGGTTTGCACCACCATGCCTGAGTTTTGTTTAATTTTATCAAGGGATAAGACGTCATCTTTTTTTTGAGACAAAAATCTCACTATGTAGTTCAGACTGTTCTTGAACTCACTATATAGCCCGGGCTAGCCTCAAACTTGCAGCAATCATCTTGCCTTAGCCACCCAAGTGCTGAGATTATAGGCATGTGCCACCATGCCCGGCCAGACATAGTCTTATCTTTGGCAAATTTGAGGATGGGGATTAGGGGTTTAACCCAGGGCCTTCACACTGAGCCACTTTACCAGGCTTTTTTAAAATAAAAAAAAATTTTTTTGACTGGGGTGCTGCCACCTGCCTCATAAGCGCAAAGCCCCAAGTTCATCCCCAGTACCAAACAACATAAATAAATAAATTTATTTTGAGATAGGGTCTTGCTAAGTCACTAAAGTTTCCCAGTGTGGGTCGAACTTGCCATCTTCTTACCTCGGGCTTCCAGAGCACTTGTATTTGCAAGTGTGCACCACCACACCTGGCTTAAGCAAGCCTTAGCAAACAGCAATGGCACCATATCTTTCAGCATGCATAAAAGCCTACTGTGTGCTTATGTAATTTTGAAGTAGTTCCTAGCATGTTTTCCTGGAGGTATATCCTTTGGACTGCAGTGTTGTTTGCTCTTTCTTCTACCCTTAATGGCCAGTTTTTGGAGTAGATAGACAAGAGGAAATTAGTGAACTGTGGTTCTGCTAACCACAGACAAGAGCTTTTCACCTTCAGTAGCTTGTCTCTCCAGAAATGATACCTCATTTTGTGTCTTTTTTACACCTGACTACTGTCAGCTGCTTTGGGTCTAATTAAGACTTCAATCTGCCTTGTGGAGTTGTAAGAGTCAACAAAGGGGCCATGCTATCGCTGTCTAGGCAGCATTTTTGCATAAATTAGGCTCTTGCATCATTCCCTGGGGCAATGGTTCTTAACTATTAAGAATCTTGATGTAAACTGTGAACTTGCTTCCCTGAACAGTTAGTTTACAGCTGCTAGGTTAGAAATGTCTTAAAATGTGGTTTTCAAACCAAGGTAGAAGAAGTGTCAAGAGCAGGAGGGTGTAGTCAGTGGTAAAATGTTTGCCTAGCATTCCAGAGGCAGGAGGTTCCATTCTTAGCACCACAGAAATAAAAGAAGTGTTGTACTTGAGCTGTAGTTCTACAGAGAATCAGCATGTGGCAGCAAGGTCAGGAGGATTACTGCTTTAAATAGTAGGGTGGTTGGGAATCTGGAATATTAATCATCATATATGACAGCAGGAGGAGCCTATCAATTGTAAAGTATCAGCTAATTCTGGCCACCTCCCTGTATAGAAAGAACACTCCTCATAGTCACACTTTATTTGCATAGTCTTTCAGGAGGGAAAAAAAGCTTTCTGTTAAGTTATGGTTGCACAGAGTTATGGTCAAATTCATTGAGAATTTCTTTTAACATGCACAGAAGTCAAGATATGGTCTCATTCCATAGTTTAGGTTTGTCTTGAACTCACTGTGTAGTCCAGGCTGGCCTAGAACTCAGTAGTCTCCCTGGCTCCACTTCCTGAACAGTGAGATTATAGGCATATACTACTACACCTGCTGTGTGATACTTGTAACACAGGAAGCCAGCTCAACACTCTTAAACCCAATAATTTATAAACAGACACACTCCACAAACTAACTAGTCTCCTAAAATTGAAGGTAATTTTACCTGGGAAGGCTTCAAGTGAGATAAGACTCAAATATAAATGGCCCCTTCAACTCCATGCAGATATTCACAATTTTCTGTTACCTGGAGAAATATAGACCACTGAAGACTATGGATCCTGCTTAACAAGGCTTTTAATGCTTTTTGTAGCTTATTCTGGCTTGCCTAAGCTTCAGGATTTATGGATAAATGTTAATGATGACTGGCCTTTTCCAGGACCTACTTAATTTAAACATAGCCTGTATTTACTACTCAGTGTATATGTGTCAAGCTTAGACTTAATTTATTTGGAGAATTCTGTTCCTAATTATTTCAGATTTTGATTCTCTGAACTCATCTATGTATAATTGATTGTTTATACATGAAAAAGCTTCGACAGCTGTAAAGCTTTGTGTAGAGTAAGGTGATATCCTGGTAGTAGGGATTGCTGTTGGCTTCCTTTTTTTCATATTGGGCTTCCTTTTTTTGCTTTGTAGTGTGAGGGATTAAACCCAGGGCTTTTGCATTAACATACATCCCCATCCAGTCCTTTTCGTGTTTTATTTTGAGACAGCGTCTTGCTAAGTTGCCCAGGCTAAGCTTGAACTTACAGTCTTCCTGATTCAGCCTCCCAAAGTGCTGGGATTACAGGTGTGTACCACCACGCCCGGCTGAAACAAAGCTTTTGTAAATGGGGAGAAAAAGAAGGGTTGAAGAGTGGGAGGGGAATGGGGAAAAAAGAATCTGTATAGGCACAAATTCCCTATAATGAATGTGATCAGTAAATATGACAAATATGTAAAAATAAAAAATACGACGTTTAAAAAAAAAACACTTGGTGGATGAGTGGTTGAAGAGCTATATGATTTTGAGAGGATTAATAAGTCCTGGAAATATTTTCAAGTAGATAGTGATCTCTCTTGGAGCCTTAATTAAGCTCTAGTTCCTGGTCTTTCCACTTACTCCTGGTCTCCACCTAATAATGATGCATGCAGTCAGTAGCCTCTCTGGAGCCCCCAGGACCATGGCCTACCATATCTCCAGTCCTCATCTGAACCAGAAAAACTTCTCTCTTGTTATTTTCAGGTTGTGGACCTGGCCTATTAGCAGATGCCAAGATGCGGGTATTTGAACGTTCGGTGTATTTTGGTGATTCCTGCCAAGATGTTCTTAGCATGCTTGGCTCTCCACATAAGGTCTTCTACAAGTCAGAAGACAAGGTAGGAGAAATGTACTTATAGAGTAAATAGGTAGTCCCGCTCTTCCTCTCATCAGCAGTAAATACAAGTCAGGCATGATGGTGCACACTTGTAATCCCGACACTCAGGAGGTTGAACAACATTTAAGAACCTGTCTCAGAAAACAAAACAAAACAATAAATACAAACTGCTGTTTTCCCATAGAACCTTTTCTATCTAAAATTGATAGTAAACTGAGTTGAAAGCTTTTTTTTTTTTTTTTACTAACCTAGTTGATCAAAGGACCCTGCCTCTATCATTGTCCAATGTGCTCACCTTTCTTGGTAAACCCAAGCCCAGTCCATAGTTAGCCACATCTGCCCCACTTTTCTCCTGGACTCAACTAGGTACTGAGACTTCCCATGCTTTTTTTATTTTTATTGTTTTAGATGTTTGAGACATATCTTGCTGCATGCTTCATACTGGCCTTTAATTCACTGTGTACCCCAGGCTAGACTCGGATTAGCAGCAATCTAGCCTCAGCCTCCCAAGTGCTGGGATTACAGGTGTGCACTACCATGCCCAGCTCTTTAAGAACTGTAGTAGGGGTTGGAGTTTTATTTGTTGTTATATTTTCCCAACAGATGAAAATTCATTCTCCTTCCCCTCATAAGCAAGTTCCATCCAAATGCAATGACTACTTTTTTAACTACTTCACTCTTGGAGTGGTAAGTTTTCATGCCTTAGAGAAGCATTTCCTTTCCACTGAGATGGGGGGGCACACTTGTGTGGCTGTAACTATGCCCAGGAATTGAAGAACCTAGCCTCAAATGGCTTTGCTTGACAGCGTTTACCCCACAGTAGACCTTTTCTTCCACCAAAAATGTCAATATACTGGGTTCCCTGGTTTGTCTTTACTTCTTTTCTGAAGGGAACATGCTGTCTTTAGAGGACTGGCTCAGAAACATTGCTGCATCTCTGTACCATGGATCTAAGGCATAGATGAAGATAGTGACTGCCATTAGTGCTCTACAGTCCAGCTAATGGATAGGACACATATATATGACATGGTTGTATCAACCAGTGTACCAGCAAGAATTACCTCAGGGTGGGGCTGGCCTGGACCGTGGGTCTTCTAAGTTAGCTTTGACCTTTCCATGGTCTCATTTCCTGAGACAGGAAAGGGTAGATTCCAGAGAGAGAGGAGACTGGTTTTTCTATCTGGGAAAGACCAAACAACCAGGAGGTGTAGAGGAGCTGCTCTGGATTCATAAACTGAAGGTAAGATGATAGAGTGACTCAGTGCTGTTGTACCTCAACCCCCAAATTCAAGGCTCAATGATGATAGACAGCAGGGAAGATGGCAAGAATGGACAGCTTTAGTGGGACTTTATTGGCAATTGGAATGGGGGTGAAGTTAGAGGTAACCCTTGGGTCCCAGGTCTGAGCAGCTAGTAGAGGATAGAAAAGTGTCAGTGAAAGGAGGACATGTTCAGTGGATAGCATCAAATCCACATCTGAGCCGTGGTAGGAAGTCAGGTGTTACCAACTTCCAAAAAGAGTGAGCGTCATGACATTCAGAAAGTTGGAAAGGTTCCTGCCCTGCCTTAGGAACTCTGCCTCCTTGAGCATCTCTGTTTTCTATCGCAGGACATCCTCTTCGATGCAAATACACACAAAGTAAAGAAGTTTGTTCTACATACCAATTATCCTGGACATTATAACTTTAACATGTGAGTACATCCTAACACTAACCCTTAATTCCAAGAAGTGTGCTTTGGGCTGAAAACCTTGAGGAAAAAGAACTTACAGTTTTGGTTATTCACTAATTTATCTCTACCTGAATTCTTGTTTTTTGTTTTAAATGCTCTACCACTGGGAAGTGGCCTCTACCTGAACTCTTGCTGTTTCATGGGAAATGAACCTTTACTGATTGCCTGCTATGTTCCTGAAACAATGTCCAATGCTTTATATTTTTCTCTTTTTACCCATTTATAATTAGGTAAATAGGGTCAGAAACCTTGATATGTTGTCCAAGGTGATAGGTTCCTTAGACAGACCACAGGGCCATACCCTTTTCTGTTTATGTTCATGGCCTAAATATGGCCTCCCCCAGTGAACGCTATGTCAGGAGCACAGAGCCAGGGCTTCCAGCAAGTGTGTATGATTTTAATTTCTCTGGGGTTCAAGGTTGGGATATGGAAGTGGTCAGGACTTGCAGGAGGCCTGGCCTTTACTTTCCTCTGCCTTCTAGTTATCACCGCTGTGAGTTCAAGATTCCACTAGCCATAAAGAAAGGTGAGTAGGGAGTGCCCTCAGAGTAAGGAAGGGGTTTTGGAATCACTTTCCACTCAGAGAAGGGGGAAAGACCCAAGCAGAGGTTGGTACTGGTTAAGTGAGTGGAGCCTTTGCTCAGTTGCTTATGCCTGTAGGCAGCTCTTACGGGATTAGCTCTTTGATCTGGGGGCCTTCATGCCCTTTGACCATGACCAAGAACAGGGATTATTGGCCTCTGGAGGGGAGCATTTATTATCTAGAGATGGTCATCCAGTGCCCCCATCACTGGTCTCCATCGCCCACTGCCAGTTGGTGTAGCTCACATCTAACTGCCCTCCTTTTACCCCTCTATCCATTATACTCTAGAGCTCTAAACAGCCTATATTCTCAGCACTCTAAACCCAATGCAAAGAGTGGCTGGGTCTGCCCAGGGCTGGGGCCACAGGTGAGTTGGCCAGCTACCAAGTCTGCACTCTGTGTTCTCTTTGCAGAAAATGAAGATGGTCAGACAGAAACCTGCACAACCTATAGCAAGGTGAGCTTCTGTTTTCCTGCCTGACAGCCAGAGAATGAGATGGGCATGTGTCTGTCCCCATTCTGGGGCCATGTCCTCTGAGCCAGCCATTGGGCACAGGTGTGTTTAGGTCCCAGCTAACCCCTGTAGTCCCCTATCCTTTTGCAGTGGGACAATATCCACGAGCTCTTGGGCCACCCTGTGGAGAAGCCTGTTATCCTGCACAGGTGAGTGGGCAGTTATCTCTGACCCTCCACCCTGCTCTTTGAAGCCCAGAAGGCTTAAGGAAGCTTGCCAGTTAGAAATGACAGAAGCTTCTGATAGTGCCAGACATACTTCTTAGCCTACCCTACACATTAGGACTGGACCAACTCTTCTGCATGTTTACCTGTAACAGATAAGTTGCCCTCTGGTATATGTCATCTCCCCCTACCTATAGGCATGGAGGCCCTGTCACCCTTAGTTATTCAGAAAGGGAAACAATCTTTTTTTTTTTTTTTTTACCTGGGATTGAACTTGGGACCTTGTACTTGCAAGGCAGGTGGCAGAACCCACTGAGCTAAATCCCCAGCTAGGAAAGCAATCTTGACTAGATATTCTGGGCTCTTTTCTTCTCATCAAAGCTGCTACCTGCAGGCTAATTCTGGCTGCCTTGCTGCCTGAAGGCTCCCTCTCACTTGAAAGGGCTCTCCTGACTTCTCACCACTACCTTTCAGTTTCACAGTGACTTTCCGTGCCACGTTGGACTAGGTAGGATTCTGAGTCAGGTGAGGTCACCCTTACCCCAGGACCATGAGGGCTATGTGGTAGATAGTTACACACTAGCAATCATGTGAGACTGCTGGCTAGTAGCCCATGTCCCAAAAGGGACTGGATGCTTTTCTGACTTTGTCCTTTGTCTATCCATCTTAAATCTGGTTTCTGTGGCCTCAGGTCCTCATCCCCAAACAACACCAACCCATTTGGCTCCACATTCTGCTTCGGTCTTCAGCGGATGATCTTTGAGGTGAGTCCTAGAGTCTAAAAATAAGCCACTGAGGGCTTGGTGGTTATGGCAGGGTTCTGACAAATGATTTTCAGAATTGGGCAGGGCCTAACTTCTAAGCTGGGCAGATAAATCCTTCCTCAGCAACTTTGTCTGCATACTTAGCCTCCCCACACTTACAAGTGGAGAGTGATGTTAGAAAAATCTGGGGAGCTGATTGTGGTGGTGGCAGACACCTCTAATCTCAGCACTTGGAAGGCTGAGACAGGAGGATTGCCATGTGTTCAAGGCCAGCCTGGATTTAGTAAGACCCTGTCTCAAAAAAAAATCTGAGGAGCTGAGGCAATCTATATTCATTAAGATGAGAGATAACAAGTCTCATATTTATATCTGAAACACACATATAATGGGGAAGGGGGAACCTTTGGAAAAATGGGGCAGAGCCTGGGCATTTGTGGGGCCCTTGTGAACCATGTGACTGAATATACTGGGGATATGTGGTTCTTGAGGCCCTGATGGTTTGGGAGAACAATGAGTAGCCCCTGTGTTCCATCTGGATGCCATACCTTCAGCAGGCCCTTAGTAGTTCCAGAAGGACTGGGCCAGTGGGTATGGTAAGGCTGTGTATTCTCTGAGCACAGGTACCCCTTTGGGGAGCGTTCCCCCCAGCATGAAGTAGGAAAGCTTGGGGAGTCAGGAATCCCAGGCCTTGTGTATAGGTATGTCATGAGCACACCTCCAGCCTCCCTCAACCCTCTAGTACAGAAGATCCGCTTACCTCTCTTTTACCCCTCCCCCTTAATCCATTGTCCTCTTCTTACACCAGATCATGCAGAACAACCACATTGCTTCTGTGACTCTGTACGGCCCCCCCAGGCCTGGTGCCCACCTGAGAACCACAGAGCTCCCCTAGGGACATCACCACCTGTGTCCCTTTGCCCATGGAACTGTGGGTCTCTGTGCCACCCTATGGGTTTTCTTGGACACTTTGCCAAGTGTTGAAGGTCTGTTGGAATGTTCAGAGGTAGGCTCAGGCTGGGTGCTCTGCCGTGGGACAAGGGACCCAAATATTCCTCTGTCCATCTTAAGCCTGCTGCTGCCAGCAGGGAACACAGACTGCAAAGAGAAGCACAAATTTTGAGCCTTGATACCTGGACCCAGGAGCTTTGGACTAACACAGAAGAAGTCAGGACACGTCAGCCCCTGTCCCACCCCTTGGGAAAACTTGGGGCTCTTTCTGTGGCTGATACAAGCATCCAGGATAAGGACGAAGTCCTGCCTTTGGCCCCACATTGCCATGTGACCTTTAAGGCAGGCAAGTAGTATCCATAGTACTTGGTTGCAGCATTTGCACTACATCTACTTTAGTTACTTGAGCTGGCGATGGTCAAGGTGGCTACCTGCCCTTCCCTGTTCCTTTTGTGTGCGTTCCCTGCCAGGCCCAGGAGGCACACCCACTTGGTGAAACATAGCTTTCTACCATCCAGGTATGTGCTCAGGCCTGGTTTCTCCACTGCTCTGGAGCCAGCTTTCAAGGTCACCTTGCCCATTTTACCCAACCTTGCTGGCAGGGCTTTATGCTTCCATTATGTTTGCCTCTTTTATTTAATGCCAAAGTTTTAGCCAAAGACATCTTCCTTTTGTTGTATTTTAGCATTCTGCTCTGCACTGTGGGCCGGCTCCCTGCTCTAGCCCTGTCCACTGTCCCCTGGCTGGCTGGGTCTTTCATGGCTCATGGCCTCTGGGGGCTCAAGGAATGCTGGGCTGCTTGATCTCTTCATAAGTCTTGCTAATGGGAAGTAGCATATTATGTGCTTTAAAAATATTAATCCTTTTGAAAAGAATTGAGAAGAGAAATGTATACTTTTATCCCATTTTTAATATTTTGGTCTAGCAACTTGTGATACATAGATGACAATTTTGTGAGTTTTTCAAATGTGTGTACAGATTTTTGTAAATATGACTTTTGTAATTAACTCATGTACAGCCTCATTCTGTATAGTTCATGATGAATGTGCAAGGGACCTGCCCCAAGTTCTTGCCTGTGTGGTTCCTGGGCCTACAGCCAGGCTTGTGTGGCACTCTCATAACTTTGTGACTAAGTGTCTTCCCGTTTTGACCATTCTGGCCAGAGACCCTGCAACATCTCATTGGCAGCGGTAGCCAGGACTGTTCCATCCTCCTGGAATGAGGGAATCTTCCTCATCCCTTGCCCTCATTCTATCTCCAATAAAGCACCTATGCCCTCAGCAGCAGCCTTGCCCTGTGCTATTGCTGGGATGTTTGTATTAAAATAAGTGTGGCAGTGTTGGTTTTTTGAAGGGGATAGTTGAAAACGGGAAAATTTATAATGGAGGAGTCTTAAGGGCTCCTAGCTGGGGAGGTGGGTGTTGGAAAGACATCGACGTAACAGCATGGGTGTGGGGGTGAAGTAGTAAGACCGTGACAGTTGTTTCTGTGACTCTGTCCCTGTTCATCCAGTCAGACCCGGACTCTGCAAGGGTCTTGAGGAAAGACCTCCGAGGAGAAAGATGTAAAGACAGGGACAAGACAGTTTGGAGGAACAGGTGAGCAGCAGAATGGCTGCTTAAGACTGAGTTGTGGCATAATACCTACCAAGTCCACATTGTGCTGTGAGGCCTGACGTTAAAGAGGATGAGCCACCCTGCACATGTCTGCATCATCCTAGGGGTTTCAAACCAAGCACCACCAGAATACACACCTATTTGCTACTACAAAAACTATCTACTGGTCTAAGGCCTGCTGGGCAAGACATGGTCTTCTACCACCCTGGCCCTGGCTCTCAGTGGGTCATCATTACATTGGTTCTAGACTTGCTTCTGATAGTTTGAGCCACCAGGAGCCAAGCTCAGTATTCTTTAGGGCCCCAGGGCAGACACCCTCTAGTCTGGGCAAGGGCCACATAATAGTAATCTGCATGGGAAACTCCTTTAAAAAGTTCCATTCTGGGGCTGAGAAGTCAGCCACTGATGAGTAGCTATGGGTCCCATTGGAAGGGGCCTGCTGCAGCAGGCTGGGGATGTGCACAGACTGGCCCATACGGTCCATGCAGCAGGCGCCACATAAGCCAGATGTCAGCAGCCGAGAGCCCGTGCACTACAACCAATTCACGGTAGAAGCAAGGGTCGAAGGTGTGCAAATGAGGTGCGGCTGAAGGCTGAGAGATGCCAAAGGTGCGGAAAGCTGGGTGAGGCTCAGGTGTGAGTCGAAGGCGCTGCAGACACATGCCCAGAAACACATCATCGATGGGAAAGAGTTCAACCTGCTTGCAGGCACTGGACAGACGGCGCAGCGTGGCTCCCGAAAGAACAAAGCCACCGCCACCTGCGTAGGCGGGGTAGACAGGCAGGCCATACACAGCTTCGGGGACGTAGTACTTGCTACCTCGTGTGCGGATTGGCCGTGCCTGCACTATCACATCACCCGCTAGCAGGTCCTGCGCTGGATCCCGCGGGGCCAGGAACTCCAGCAGGTTCCCCACGTGCACAAACACATCCGTATCTCCCTTAAAAACGAAGTGTACATCAGGGCAGTAGGCTGAGGCCCAAGCCAGAAAGTGAATCTCCTTCAGCGTTAGGTTGAAAAAAGTGTCGTCAAAGGCCCAGAGCAGGATGTCCGCGTAGGCACGGCTCTCAGCCTGCAGCAGGGCGCGCCAGTGCGTCCTCACGCCGGCCCCCTCCGGGTCTTCCCCTTTGGTGCCTGGGCCCTTGGGCACGCCCAGCAAGAACACGCGGCGCACGAGCGCCCCCTGCACGCGACCCTCAGAACCCCACGTCTGGCGCACGGCTTGGCGTCGCTCAAAATCAGCTGCCACAGACTTGACAGCGATAAGCAGGTCCGGTTGGCCGCCAGGTGCGCCGTCACCGCGGCACTTGTGCGGCTGGTTAATGAGCAGCGGGAAGCGCCTCTGGTCCTTGGCGCGCAAGTAGCGGCGGAAGTCAAAAGGGCCCGTGGGCGTGGGGGGTGCGTGCGTGTCCTCTTCATAGGCCGCTGGGGCTGCGCCGGCGTCTGGTCCCTGGAAGGCGCGAGGCCCTAGCGCTGGCCTCCGTGCCACCCGCCCTCGCGGCGCGCTCGAGGTTGGGCTCGGGCCACTACGCTGCGCGTACAGTAGAAGGGCAAGGGCGGCGCCGAGAAGCAGCGTGAGCGACGCATCTCCTCGTAGGCGCAGCCTCCTCATGTCCTGGCCAGCGCCGGCCCTCCCTTCGAAGGGTCGCGAACAGGACCTCCAGAGGTGGTAGAGAGTGGCAGGCAGCGAGCAGGGATCCCAGCCCTGCCTTCCCGGAGAAGGGGCGGGAGGCCACGCCTTGGGGGCCTCCAGCTACTGGATGGTTATCCCCCTCCGAGTCCTACGCACTGCTGGGGGATGAGCAAGCTAAGGGGATGAGCAGCTCCCCTTTTGTACCCAGCTCCCACCTGGCCCAGGACCCGACCCCAAGGCCCGGCAGGGAGATGCGGAACCTCGGTCCTACTCCTTGCCACCTCCCCGAACTGAGGCTGAATCGGTTTGTTGTATCTTTACCCGTCCCGCTGTTGGCTTGGGTCTCTGCGATCCCGACACTCAAGCAAGGCCCTCGGGAGCGGTGCAACTCCCCGACGCCGGAACCTCTGGGGCTAAGCGCAGGGTCCCAAGGGTGGCCGTGAACGGGGCCTGAGCCAAATGCAGCGTTGGCAGGAAGGGGGCCGAGGCCATGCCACGTGACCCTCCAGCTGTGCCTGCCCGGACCTCTGGAGCTCAGCTCCGCCCCGTTCCAGGAGCACCAATTCCAAGGAGGGACTAATTAATTCCTGAGAGTTTGCTTCACCAGATGACTTTGGGTGGGGAGAGCCTGGTCGTGGTGCTGACTCCACAAATCCACCTTTCCGATTCCTGGGAAGTATCCCGTCTGCGGATACCTCTCACTGCTGTCTCCGCGGAGTTGGGGCAGGAGCTGTCAGGAGCTCACTAGCTAACTGATCCCAGTTCCTGGGGGAAGAGGGTCTTCTTTTTTTTTTTCCCTTTGTTTTTGTTTCCAGGGACTGAACTCTGGTCCTTGCACATGTTGGGAGGAAAGCGGCGGAATCACTGAGCTAAATCCCCAGCATTGGGGAGAGGGTCTTAAGCGTCGACCTGGCCACTTTTCTGGCTCATTCAGAGCTCCTCTCCTCAGCAGCCCTAGTTCTGCCAGACAGGGGCCATACACTGCTCCTGGGACACGTGGCTGCCTCTTACTCTTGGCTGACCATACAAACTACACATCTAATTCTAAAAACAGGTCTACCAGCAGCTCTCACTGCTTGTGCCCAGATGGGAAAACTGATTTTCAGGGAATTAAATGATTGCCAAAAAGTACTATACCATCCTGAGGTCTTTTGCAATTCAGTCCAGAAGTCTTTCCTCTGCTTCCTTGCCCCTCATCTGTCCATTGTGATACAGAACTGGGAGCCTAGATCCCCATTTGAGTCCCCTGATCCCCAGCATAGCTCCCGCAGGTAGAAAGGACCATGCCTGTGCCACTCAAGTCCAGCCCAACCTGGACTTGAGATGGCTTCTTGGAAGCCTGCACACAAAGTTTTGAGCTGTGACCCAAATAGGCAGAGGCACCCTGGAGAGGGAGGGCCCAGTCCTTGCCTAACTCTGCTGCCATCTCACAGCTCTGTCTTCCCAAACTCAAGGTCTCTGGGTCCCCACTATGTGGCAGACTGGAGTAGATACCCTCATTCCATAGTCTGAGAACAGGTTGCTAAAAGCAGTGGGGCTACTCAGCACTATTCTTTCTGGGGGCTGTCTGCTCCCTTTCCTGTAAAAGCAAACTCTTCATCCCAAGCTTTACTCTTCCCCATTCATAGACCAGGAAGTCTTTTGGCTTCCTCCACACCTTCTTACTTCCTCCTGTGGTATAGTTTTGAACCCAAAGGGTGCACCTCAGTCTGGCCTGATAGGCAGCCTGCATTACATCAGTGGAGATCACCTGGCTTCCAGTCTCATTTTCCTCCTCCTCTTTGGGAAGCTCCTTTCTAGTAGGTCTCTTTTGGGACCTACCTCTAGGCCACCCCACCCACTCCCACCTCTCCATTCACGAATCTTTATAGCCTGACCTTTCTCTTGAACTCAACTATACACCCATGTCCCTCACACCCCCTCCCTGGATGACCTGTAGGATCATCATTCCTGGAGAACAGAGCAAGCAAGGCCTTCCCCAAGCATCTGTCCTACCGCCAAAGGCAGAAACCAGGTTTTCTCTTACTCTGTTCCTCTTCCAGGCTATTATCTTTTCCCTCTAAACAGCTCTTGGTGTTTAGTCCCTTTCCCTTTCCTCTACCTCTGCAGCTACTGTCCCAGCCTTGTGCACCCCTCTTTCCTCCATTTTCACCAACCTCCCAGTCTTCTCTCCAAATCCTCAAAACCTTCTCACTGGCCCTGTAAAATACAAACTCTGTAAATGGCTATCAGACCCCATGGGTCACTCAGCAACCCACCCCCATCCAACCACTCTAAATTTGTACTACTACTATTTTCTTCTTCTGAGACAGGCTCTTACTTTGTAACCCAGGCTGGCCTTGAAGAACTCACAGTAATCCTCCTGCCTCAGCCTCCCAAGTGCTGGGATTACAGGCATGGCACCACCACACCTGATCTAAATTTGTACTTCTAACACCTCCCTTTTTGCCTCCCTCCAGACCCTGCCCAAAGCTGTGTCCAAAACACTGCCCTGTTCTCAACTATACCCTGTGCACAGTTATGTACTCCTGAAGCCTACCCCGACTGGAATAGGCCTCTGTACTCCCACAGCTCGCTGTCAAAAGTGTTACACTTTATTACCACTGCTGTATGAGCTGGGAGTAGATAGGATTTGTATGTCTTGCTCAACAGTTTTTGCAGTACTGGGTTGATGCCTAGGACAAGTTCCAGAGCTTAATATGTCATTTTTCTATGAATGAAGGGGTGAGGGCCAGCCAGAAAGGAAGACACCCACACTCTGCCTCCATCAAAGACTAGGGCAGAATCACCAAGGTGCACCCTATTGGCTGGGGGGGGGCGGCATGTGTGTGCGCGCTTGTCTGACACATTGGAAAGGCAGTCAATTTTGTCCCCAGCTGCTCAGTGAAGCGGGGGTGTTAAGTGTGGTCTCAGAGTCCCTTGGATGGAAGAGGGAGGCATCGACAGTGGCAGCAGTAGTAGATGGAACCCTAGGTCCCTCTAGCTTCTCCAAACCCTGGCTGGGCTCCTGGCTGACCGTCCCTTCCTTGGCACCCAGCCTAGGCCAGACCACTGTTGGGATCCGCCAAGCCCAGCAGGTCTTCTGCCAGACTGGTTAGCTCGTTCTCCTCAAGAGCCTCCACCAGGCGCTGCAACGTGGCTCGGCGCCCCTCTGCCTGCACGAAGCGGCGCAGCAGCTGGAAGGCCTGCTCGTACAGCCCCTCGCGCTCGTACTCATAGGCCAGCGAGTCGAGGGCAGGGTCCCGTAGTGCCCGACAACTGCGCTGCAGGGAGCGCCCGACCCTGCGCCACTTGAGGCCCACTGAGCGTGCGAATGTCTGTTGGTCCTGCAGATTCAGCGGCCGGTTCACTGAGAAGGGGGTGGAGAGGCTGGTGGGTGAAGGGTACCCCAGAGCGGGTACCCGCCTGTGCCCGCCCAGCCCAACGGGGAAGGGGACGACGACGACCCTGCCTTTGCATGTGCACCTCACCTATGGGGTGACCCTGGAACAGAAAGGTCTGGCCAGCCTGCGGTGGCTTATTCTCCTCCAACGGAGAAGGGCCCAGGGACTGCGAGAGCGCTGGAGTGACCTTCAAATCACCACCCTGGCCCGCCGAGCTCAACGTCAGATTGTTGAGTGCATCCTCTAGCTCAGCGAGTTCCTCATCCCGGAGTCGGTCCGGCTGGGGGAGGGAGTGTGTGGTCAGTGTGATTCTTATGGGCAAATCCCCACCCTACCCCATCCTGACCCCAGTCAGCTGCACCTTCTGGGCTAAGATGCTATGCACACAGCGCTCCTCATCAGTCAGCCAAGCGTCCAGTCGTTCTGCGCCGGTGAGCAGCTCCAGCTGCAGCTGCACAGAGGGCAGAGCCAGAGCAGCAGCCAAGCACCTCTGCAGCGTGACGCGCAGCGCCCCCTCGCGGTAGGCGCGGAGGAAGCGAACGCAAGACTGGCGCCCACAGAAACGCAGCTGCACGATCAGCTGCGGGTCGCTACTGTGGATCTTCAGTATCTGTAGCTCGTCGGGGCTCTCGGAGCTCTCTGCAGAGGCGAGCAGTCAGGCGCCAGGCGGTCCCCTAGCGGGGCCGTTCTCCAAGCAGCCGAAGGAAAGGTGAAGCCTGTGATCAAACCCCTGTCCCCATTCTCTGGCCTAGGGTGCAAGATTACCAAAAATACCCAGCTGGGAGACAAACATCCGATGCAAAGAGCAACAATACAGAAAGCAGGTCAGAGCCGGGGATGTAGACCAGTGGCGCCCTGGCAAGTGCAAGGTCCTGAGTTCAATTCCCAGTACCGAAAAAAAATTTTCCCTTCTAGAAAGCAGGCCAGAATCTACTAAGTGAGTGTAACCTAGTCCCATCTCTAAAACCTCAAATGAAGGTGAGCCCGGGAGCGGGGTGGGACTTTGCAACACAGAAAAGGGACCTTGGCCCTGGGTCGCCAAGCTGTCTGGGAAGGTCAGGGGAGGGGTGGGAGGTCTCAGGTCTTCAGCCTCCACCTAGTGAGGCCCCTCTCCCGTGGAAGGAGAAGGATCCTCCTTGCTTAGGTTGAAGTAGAAGCCCCCAATCAGCTCGGCCTTCTGTGGGCTCTGCCCTGGAGTGAGAAAGGGGGACCAAGAAGGGTAGGTACTGGGAAGGGGTCTTGGGCAAGAAGCACTGCAGTGAGAGAGGAAAAGAGGAGAGAGAAATATGCAATCAGTAGAAAGGAGTTGGGTGGTTAAGAGGGCACGTGGGGGGGGTGCATAGAGGAGGGATATATTAGTGTAGAAATATGTAGATACCTACACACATCTACATTTGAGGACATGCATGCAGTAAGCAAAGAAGGCTGACCCTAAACCCAGGGTTCTTCCTCCCTTACCAAGCCCCGCTCCCCAGTTGCTTCCCACCCCTAATCTTTTCCCAATCCAGGAGGTGGAGCTTCAGCCCCATCTCTGTCCACAGAGGCCCAGGCCACCTCTTCCTCTCCCATACTGCCAGCCACGCACCTGCCAATGCAGTCCGCAGAGCCCCGTATACTGCCACTTTCTTCTGGGGGTGTGTGTAGGCATCTGACAGGACCACCTTGTCTAACGAGGACTCCAAAAACAGATATGCACTGCCCACCCACTCTTCATGTCCATTTGACCCAGCTGCCATCTTGCCTCCTGGACCTACAGACAGGAGTTCAGGTCACTCCCAGCCTTGGAGACAACTGTCCAGTTCCATGTTGCCAACCCATCCCCTCCATAGCAACCTCAGTCAGTTTGTATACTTGGGACAAGAGCTCATCATCTCACAGGCAGCTCCTTTTCCTCTAGTTCTACATGAAGCCTTGTCCAGCCCTGCCCAGATTTACAGTGAGGATTATTTCTCCATTGACCTCCAGAAAAAGCCCATAGTTGCCCAGTGCAGTGGCACACACCTGTAATTCCAGTCATTCAGGACACTGGGGCAGAAGGATGGAAGTTCAAGGCCAGCCTGGGCAACCTGATAAAAGCCTGGCTCAAAATAAAAGATAAAAAGGACTTGAGATATAGCTCAATGGAACAGTGCTTGCCTAGAACTTTTAAGGCTTGGGTTTAATCTCCAGTACTGAGAAAGAAAGTAAAAAAAAAAAAAAGTCCTGGGTCAGAAGAGCAGAGCAGAGGAAGACCCTGCAGTGAAAGGAAAGCTCTACTTCCTCATCAAGCCAATGATGACAGCAGATATCATGTTGGATGTTGCCCATGCCCACAGCAAACTAAACCCTGGCCTTACCTTCCGCTTGAACTTAAGACACAAGATCTCTGCATGTCTACAACTTCATTCTTTGGTTCTCTCATCTCCATTCCCATTATACCTTCTGGCTTTGCTTTTTTTTTTTTTTTAAGGAAAAGACTTTCTAGTTCATTCCTACCCAGATTCCCTCCGCTAACACTTGACCTCTGCAAACTTCTCTCCTCCTACTGAATCATGAATCCATATGCTTACTGGGAGTGCTAATCCCACTTCCTAGCTTCATGTATGAAGCAGGCCTGGCTAATGTACATTTTCTGTTCACCATTCTGCATGGACGAGTTCAGGCCTCAATATAAGGCTCAAGTTGGACCAAGAAGAATTAAGCCTGGGCCAGGGATTTAGCTGAGTGGCGCTGCATATGCCTGGAAAGCACAAGGTCCAAGTTCCATCCCTGGTACCAAAAAAAAAAAAAAAAAAAAAAAAAAAAAAAAAAAAATAAAGCCGGGGGCACACCATTAATTTCCCTTCC